TGATTTCCAGTGAATTCTTAGCAGTCCCAAAAATCTGAAAACCAAAATCCAAAGTTAGTCATCTCAAGTTCACTAGACACTGATAATAATTCTCTCACAGACATAAAACAAGCATTACATTATGGAGATATAATAGATTTTCAATAGATTCAATAGATTCCAGTATTTTCAATACATTTTATAGTGATGCTTTTATACTTAGGAGCAACTTGCCTTTCTCTGTGTTTGAGACTCAATTTTTGAAATGTCTTTTCATGAAGAGTCATTTCCAAATGTACTGAGAAGCATTGAATTATTTATTCTTATCTATTCTTTTATGTATAGATCAGACCTCTTAGGATTTTTTGCCATTGCAGAAATTTCATAGTGTGTTCATCTGGTACTGAGGATTAAAATACCTGTTCATTCTCTTTTGCTTTTCTTCCTAACATTAAATTTCTGTTGCACACTTCAGTACAATAGTCTTCCAGTTCTGACCTGCTTATGTTAATAATGTATGTCCTAAGAATATCTGTTCTTGTGAACAGGAAGTTCTACTTACAAATAGTGTAGCATATATAAGGTGACTCTATGCTAATAAAGGCAAGAAGGGCAAGAAAAACATATGATTTTGTAATGACTGGGAATTCTGTTACACAAATGAAATTCTCAGTTTCTCTCTGGAAATTGTACCTGCCAATGGGGACATTGTTGTTGCAATACATACTACAGAATATCAAAACTGAAGGCTTCTGAGAGAAGCCTTTCTTGAAGCATTTAAGTAATTCTTTGAGTATCTTTTTTGTATTCGTTTGTTTCTGACATGGCTTTTAACAAAACAGTACATGTCTTTTCAGTGCAGCAACTGGAGAATCAATGGGAAGGTATATTACACTTTTTACAAGGGCAGATGAGTTCTTTGTTTTTAAAATGGTGTTATTTTATTAGTCTACTAGGGCCCAAAGGGTTCTTATAAGAAAAAGTAATTTTTTTCTTGTTTCAGTCTCTAGATCTCCTGGTTATTTTCCAAACTACTTAAAAAAAAAAAAAAAAAAACAGAAACAAAAACTCAAATCAAAATATTTAACACCCCTCTCCCTAAAAAAAAAAAAATTAAAAAAAAAATTTAAAAAGAGAAACAAACCACCACCACAGGAAACCCAAACCTTAAACTCTAAAATTAGGTTAGAATTTGAATCCGCCAGTCTTCAGGCATGTGATAGTGCTTAATGCCAGTAAAGATTTCTTTTCAATTAGAAATTCTGATTCTTAGTAACTGCAGAAATGTTCTTTATGTACATAAAATGAGAGCATTTTTCTTTTCTTTGAAGTTGTTCTTGTCAAAATGCAAATAATTTGTATTTGACTGTAGAACTTGTGGATGGGTAAGGAGATGAAGCTTGTGTGCTTCGTAATTCACAGCACTCAGAAAGTCCTTTTTGGTGAAGGATGGTGGGTGATGTGTCTTGGAGCCGTCACTCTTCTTGATACTAGAATTGATGTAACTTTGCTAACAAATGCTTAGCACGTGGTGGGTGTTTTAGCTTTGTTTTTCTAAGGCCTGTTACCACAGACCTACATTTATGGTACAGTCTGAATTGATTTCCTTAGTTTATACTATGTTTGTCCAGTTTAACAATGTTTTGCTTCTCCACGACATAAATGAACAATAATAAATAGTGCCAGATAGATAGATGTTGGATTTGAGAATTTATTCTGCAAAATAAAATGTCTTCCATTGCTTGATTATCCTAGAGATATTGATTTAATTCCAGGAATATTTACTCACTTTATTCTGTTCACACAGTACAGAGCTATATTTCCTGAGTAGGTAGAATTTTAAGTTTTAATTTGATAATACATACTACATATATAGTGGCTGATTGATAGGTTACACTGATTTAATGTAATTCACTAATGTTTTTTAGTCTTTTGTGTTGACACTAGTTTCTTATTGAGATATGGTGAAGCTCACATAAAATAGATCATCTTGAACGTAAGGATTGGGACAGTTGTCATGTAATTCAACTACTATGAGAAAAAAATCTACTTAATGCAGGGAAAGATAATGTAGTGTTGATGTCAGTTCTTGTTATGTCCCTTGAGACCTTTTCTGTGCTCCTGTTCAAAACAAAGGGAAAGATCTTTACCTGTGGAGAATGTCCTGTTTCAATACTTAACTTGATAATTAAAAGTACACTGTTTATAGTAAATTACTCTGGTCCACGTGCTGCAGATGGGAGCAAAATGAAGTCCTATATTCCTCCATGTACTGCTAGGATTTATTTAAACATTTCATCCCTGTAAATGGGGGGCTTACCTACTTTGTATTCCATCAGTTGCTGAGCATTATTTGGAAATTGTAGAGAAGAACTGATCTGTTGTGATATATTTGGGGTGGTTTCTTAGTATATAGCATTCAAACACTCAGGATATAGAGCAGGTAAGATACAAATGCAGACTGTGATTTGATGGAGGTTGAAGAGAAAGGTTTTGAGGGAAGGTGTAGAGGAAATGGAAATGTAGGTAATGAAGCACTGAGCTGAGTGGGAGGGAAAAAATGTTTGCCTTATTGAACCAGTCATATGGTCAGTATGATATTAGTGTAATCAGCTTGCTTACTTTGAGGTTTTTCCTCCATGGCACTTGGCTCTAAGACTGCTGATTGTAGTTCAGTTGGTCACATAGGGAACATGCTGACTTTTCTCAAGTGATACTGAACTAGGGAAAAGCTGGAAGCTGCTGCTTCCTAAAATAGCTATCCTTGTTAACAGCTCCATATGAACATTAACTGTACTTTGTGTGGTATGCTTAAGCTGTCTTGAGGAATCAATAATGCTGTCCTTGTGCTGAAAATTTGAGGTACATCTAAAACTGCTTTTTCCATAGCCCGTTCATCCGTCCCATGTTCATCTATTCTTTGAAAAATTGATGAATATTGTTCTTTGAGTGCATTCCTACAGTTCACTGTAAAAATGGTTCTGTAATGCAGGGAGAAAACATTTTTCCTTCTGTTTCTTACTCTGCACTCTTCTATAAACAAAGGCTATAAATTATGTGCCTTGCATTTTATTAGTTCGCAGTGTTACATAGATGTGTTATTATGGGTACAGTGGTGTTTTCCCAGTTTCCACTATTGCCAGAACTGAGCTGAGCAAATATAACAGAAGTGTAGGGGAGGAGTAGCACATGCTGGTACAGAAATTTAAACACACAGTCTCTGAAGCATTACACTGCACTGTTTTTACATCTGTATTATCTTTACCTGTTTTCGTTGCTTTGCAAAACTGACGAGCAGAAAAGTGGAAAATTGTTCTCCAGCATGAGGGTTTATGTATAGTTCAGTATATATAGGGCAGTCTTTACTATGTTGTACCATGTTTTATGAATAAATAGGCTGTAAAAAGAAATAAAGGAGTCTTGCTGTATGTGGCATGTTGCTTAGTGAAGCTGAATATTTGAAAACCTACGCAACCAAAGATGCAGTGTACTTAGTAGTACCTTGCCAAGGTTTAACCCCAGCCATCAAACAGTTTAACTTATTGGTGGGATGATCAGAAGTAGGTCAGGTTCATCCAAAGCATAGCCCAGTACTAGCCATGGTGCAGAAAATAACCTCTATCCCAGACAAAACCAGCACATACTGTATTAAATGAGCTGTATTGTGACCCTACTGTAGTGTATCAGTAGCTCTTTGATCTGGAATCGCTTGTGTGCGTGTTTAGAGAGGGTAAATATACATATCTTAAAACCTTTTTAAAAGCCAATTTGTGGTATGTCTGCCTTGTAACAGAACGTTAGATTAAAATGTGATAATTAATTTGACATAAGTAATTATTTTGGTGACTACTGCCTCATTGTATATTCTTCGGAATTTGTTACTTGTTGTGGTTTTGCTGAAGTATTTGAAAATGAGCATTCCATGTAATCCAGAAAAGCATAATTTTAAGGATAATTTATTTAGGGAAGGAATGGTACCAAGTTAATAATGCATTGGATTCTAATTTATAACAATAATATCTGAATATAATTTTTAATTGATACCAGTTCTAAATGATTAGATAACAGATTTTGTTGTCGGTATTTGTGTGCATTTTGGAGTTGTATCTTCGTCTCTGTGTTCTCAGAGCAGTGTTGCTTAATGGCATCAAGATAATGTTGATGCTTGTTATGAATAGGCTGCATTTGTTGCTCATTAGCAAAACGTGCTAATCACATACTCAAAAAATAATTATTCATTACACTTTTGTATTTTCATTGAATTGAGCGCTTCCATAATGAGAGCTATGAATGTACTTGCCATTTTTTTCAAAACAGAGAAATCTAAACTTCAGCGTTTTTGCAGAGGGCTGGGTGGGTTACTTGACAGTCCCACTGTCCTCATCTTTTTGTATGAAGTTGAAAGGCAAGTGTACATTCCTTTCACTTTACTTTAGTGTGACTGGTTACTAAGCTACCTTGGACAGATTGTTCAGGTGTCAGTGGGGAGGAGAGTAGCCTGTCTCATAACCTGAGGATGTGGTCTATGCACAGAAAGTTTGGGAAGACTAATGATTGTATACTAGCCAGTTCATTACCACTCCTTAGGCCCTGAATATGAACTCATCGTGCCGAGGTACTGGACTATGCTTGAGATTCCACACATAACTGGCTTGGTTTGAAAATCCATTAAGTCATATTTAAAAATGGCAAATAACTGATCAAAGAGAGAAGGAAACAAGTGTTTAGTTTAAGGGTACAACATCTAGTTACGGTACAACAGTTTAGATTATGGTTTTCGTATCTCACCATTGCTCTAGCTCTGATTGCTGTAGCTGTTGGTTGGGAAAGTGGTGGTGGCCAGGGCGAGGGTTTGAGAATCTGACATACACTGATGCTTGGAGAGGATCCAAACAGTTCTTGTTTGGTTTTGAATGTGGCTGTTGTTGGCAGGCTTAACCTTTTGTTGTTAAACTTTCTGTGCTAGCAGGTCATTGTTGTGAATGCATGACTGTCCTAACTCTTTCTTTGTTTTGTCTTAGCCACATTGATCAAACAACAACATGGCAAGATCCTAGGAAGGCTATGCTTTCCCAGATGAATGTTACAGCTCCCACCAGTCCTTCTGTGCAGCAGAACATCATGAACTCTGCATCAGGTAAGCAAAATTTGTATTTATGAAAAAGATCATACAAGTAAACTACAAGGTATTGTAATCAGGGGGGAAGGAGTCCAGATTTGATGAATGTTCTTCTAGTTATCCTGGTTTGAAACTTTTAATTTGTTGATGCCTGCTTCATCAAGCAAGAGGCTGATAGTTGAAGTAAGAGAATTTGGCCATTTATATTGTCAATAGAAAGTACATGAAGTTCTTTGTGTTTTTATTTTTTCAAATGAGTGCTTCAAACTTTTAAGGAAGCAGAATTTTTGTCTTATTTTCTTCTGACTAAAAAGTGCTGTTAAATTTATGAATTTCCATTAAATTAATATCAATTTGCATGAAAGCTTTTGTGCTTCACAGTGTTCTTCTGCCTCCATTTGGTCACTGACTAGACATGGTATACTGCCATTTGTTTACATTTCCGACATTTAATATGAACATATAATTTTTTCCTGTCCTCCCTAAATGGATCAAGCAAATACCTTGAAAATCATGTTTAGAGGCAGAAGTGTTTTGGTTTTCCTCTTGTGTTTCTATTACTTCCAAAATCCAGTATCATGGTCATTATTACTCTAGCTGAGAAAGTCGGATGTCTTTTCCTGGAATATAGAATTGTTTTTCAGCTGGCTTGGTGGGGGGCTGTCACTAGACAGCAGTAAAACGTTCTTGTTCTTGCTATAGAATCTACTGCATGTTCTCAGATCTCTCTCATCTGATTATGCAGAGAGCAAGCAGATAGATTTGGTGCCATGCTAGTTTGAGTGCTTGGTCTTCCTCTTGCTTTGTCACCTCCTGTCTGTCACTGAGGTTCATGTTATATTTATTTTCTCATAGTCTGACTGTATTTTGTGTGTGTCTGCTGTTCCTGTACTTCCCAAGGGTTATTCTCTGGTGCTGCTTTTTGTGGTCTGTTTAGACAGCTTTGTTTCATGCTGCAATTCATGTGCTGCAGACAATACCGGAAGATTAACAGGCGTGACCAAACTGTGCTGTTCATGACTGAGTATTAGAGGGGAAGTTAATCAAACTTTTTGCTGGCTAGGCCAGGAGGCTGGATTATCCTGAAACAAATGAGTCCTGTTCAAGTTCAGGAAGTCGTGATTCACAACAATTAAGGTCTCAGGCTCTGATGTGAAAATAAAATAGTGTGATTGTTTTTCCTGTAAATTTATCCCAGGAAACCTGCAGCAACAGAGGTGGCATGTTTTTTGCAGGGACACTTGTTGAGGAGGGAGAATAGGAGAAAGGAAACAATTCTCTTGGTCTGTCCTGCCTTTTCGCTTATTTGTACTAAAACTAGATGCTTGCTGTTTCAATACTGATATAAATTCTGTATTTTAAGATGACTCCTCAAACCTTCTGTTGTACCAAGAATTGACAGGAAAAAATACTGATAGTAAAGCAGGAATCACTTTATGTACTTAGAAAGAAATGAAGGGTCCTTAGCAAAAATTTTACTGTTAAATTGTAACAGAGTGATAACAAACTAGAAAAGAAGCTAGCAATCTTGGACACAAGGATTATTTTTAAAAGAACATGAAGAATTTACATGTAATTTCATGTGTGAGAAAGTGATGCTGCATAGATATTGTTGTTCATGCAATAAAGAATAGTTGAAATGTGCAAGTGGGTTGTCTTGTGATTTGAGAAAGCACTAACTTGGATGCAAGTTCATCGAACATTTATTTTTAATTTCACAGATGATACTGTGTTGAATATCACCTGAAAATCCTGGGAAGTTTTTTTTTTTTCCCTCGGGTGCTCTGAATCTGATAAAGTGCATGAAGGAGTCAGAACTCTTGTGTATACTGAATTGCACCACATGTTACGTGATGTTGGATTTTTTTAAACTTAAGTCAGTTGAGGTAGTATGACTTGAAACTGGCCCTTTGGATGAACTTGCTTACTCCTATTTTCTATTAACAAAAGTCTGCTTTGAATTAAATAATACCAAACCTGCATTTATTGGGTGTGATTCTGTTTCTGATACTTGATCTGGCAAATGTTTATGTACTAGTTTTAAATTATGACTGTAATTTAATTTTCTTTGTTTTGTTTTTGCTAAAGTCTCTTATATCTAGTTTTGTTATTTTTTATTACTGAGATCATGGTAGCTTATGCTTCCTTGGTAGCCTCTTGAATCATCTTTGAGAGAAATGGAAAAGTCAAGTAACTATGTACCGCTTCAGCACAGTGGAACTTACAGTCATGATGTTGGCACTCAGATTTAAGACTACTTAATGTTCTAATTTGGGTATTCATCCTCAAGAACTGGGAAATCAAGTTGAGACCTTTAAGACAGAAGTTTCCTGTTATGAAATATTACTGGCAGTGAAGCATACCCTAGTGCATGAGAGCCTTTCATGAAAGATATTGGGAAAAAACAAGTGTAAGTATTGTGACAGCTGGAGATCACTGACTTGCAAAAAAGTGTCTGAAATGCCACAAAGGAGAATATTTTCCTTTCTGTATAGACCTTGTATGGTGCTTGTTAATTTTAGCCCTTAAAGTTACTGTCCAAGTTCTAGTGTACTGCCACAGGAGCCTGTAAGTCAAGTTACTGTCCTGAAATGTAAGAGAGATTTCTGGGAGCTGTCTTGAGAGCCTTTAGAAGTTTTAACCATTTAGCCAGAATGAGAGTTCTTGGCATTAGCTAGAATTAAGAACAGGAAAACAAACTGAAGGTGCAGAGAGAGACGAGAACTCTGAAGACTGATGTGTACATGTTGGAGATACACCTGTTGTCTTTTTGGATAAATAGGGGAAGAAGAACTCAGGAGAGTGTGATAAGGGCAAGTCAAAAGATTGCTAAAATATAAAAATGGGAAGATTTAGTTTAGCATGAGATTGAAATCGTTAGGTTATTTGTCTTAAGAAATTCCATCTCTTAAGGCACTGAAGACTGGATGAGAACCCAGGTATCTTGTTGCAAATTACATTTCTTCAAGGAAGTTGATGGACATCTGAACCAGTCTTATCTATTCCAGGCATGATTTTTGTGAATGAGTTATTCTCTGAGTGTTAGCTACATCCTTTATAGGAAGTCATCTGTATGTGAAAAGTGAGGGGGTTTTTGTCTCAGTCTTTCTTAGCTTACTACATGTAATCAACTAAAATAGTTTGGGCCATATGTATGCAGAGAAGGAGCACAGTGCTCTTTTAGATGGCATTTGTTGGTTAATCTGTGAAATAGGATTGCATCTTCAGTAGTGGAAAGGAAACAAGATTATTATTTGTAAATATGCCACATGTATATAAAAATTCATTGTGACTGTTCTGATTTTTTTGTGCTGTATTTCTAACCATTTTTTCCCTAAAGGAAAACAGAAAGAACAGAAAAAAAGAACTTAGTTTCTTCTGTGATTTAAAACAAACAAACAGAAAGGTAGTAATAGTGGTACATTGTTCTACTTAGGAACATCTCCTATACATTTCCTACTGAGGTAACTTTATACATTTGAAAATAAACAGTGGCTGTTTCATATACAATTACAGTTGATACAACAGAGATGGGATAATTGTATTTATATATTTCTGTTGTTCAGATGCTTTTACTTCCTGAATCATCTTTGAATCATGCTTGACAGCACTGCATCCTTTAGCCTCTTCTGCTTGCGCATAGACCTTAGATAATTTGCTTTAGAACAGATTATGTGTCTTTGCCCTCTTTTGTCTTCATGCCTATGTGGTAGTTTTGAACTGAGTTTTCCAGTGAAAGTTTGTAGACCCAGTGTAATTCCATCGTCTCTTAAGGTAAGGCTGTAGTGCCATGTTAAATGTTGGTAAGAAAACGGACACTTGAATTCGCAGCTCTCACGGGACAGGAAGGTAGGAAGTAATATGCCAATTACTAAAACAAGTTTTAGCTCTTCTCTTAGATCCTTGCTCACTTCAGTTGCAGATTGCTCCTATGTAGCCAGTCACACTACAAAATTCTATTTTGTATGCAATCAACACTACAATCTGTTGTGAAACTCAAGTTTCTAAGTATCTGCATGACAGTAATGTTCATTTATTTCTTCATCTGCAAAACCTGCCCCTTTTTATACTAATTTGACAGGATAAAGATGTACTTTAAGTAAGTTTTGTAGACTTTGATGTAATTTTTTGAAGTTTTAGAACCACAGAGGATGAAAGGGAAAAGTTCAGCTTTCACAGAGAAAGATTAGGAAAGGTCTTGGAGATAAGTTTTTGTATTAGGTGAAGGTGATTCCTGTTGTTGAACATAGGTATTCTAGTTCCTACGTGGTTCTTGCATGTTCAGTTGGTAGATAGATACAGATGCCCTCATACATGCATTGACCTATTGATAAAATATGGCTTTGTTTACATTTGTTTTAAAATTAAGCATTAGGAACTGTAGAGTCTTGCAAGATTCACTTCCGATCCGAGCACAGGTTGAATCTCTAGTACATTTTTGCTCTTGTTACTCTTCCAGTTGCTTTCTATCTGCCAGCAGCAAGTTCTGCTTTGCATTCCAGATTCCATGGCATATGAGAATGTTTTTAAAAAAGAAAACTCATAAAAAGTGGAGACACGCACCAAAGAGACATGCACACAGGCTTTTAAAATTATATGTTATTTATATGAAGTTACACCATTATGTAAATATTTAGCTACAGAAGTATGGTTTATCAGTAGTTCTGTAAAGATGGCTTACATTTGGAAATGAGAATTTAATTTTTCGATAACTTTGTCCTTAAAAGTACCGCAGTGCAGGCTCAGTTCCCTACCTAGAAGGGTTGTGTCTCCCTGTGCAAATTATTTCATAGAATTCTAAACTTACAGTTATGATAGTGTTCGACTGTCATAGGAGGTACCAAACAGAACACTGTCACAAGGATATTGTTTATGTTAAATATTTATGAAAGTTGGAGGGGAGACTGGAGAAGTACTTGAAAGAGAGGTATGTTGGCACTCAGTAAGCAGACAGAAACTGGCCCAAGGAATAACTCGTGATAGAATCACAGAATATCCTGATTTGGAAGGGACCCACAAGGATCACCAAGTCCAACTCCTGGCCCCTCACGGGACATCCCCAAGAGTCACGCCATTGAGAGCATTGTCCAAATGCTTCTTGAGCTCTGTCCGGACTGGGGCTATGACCATGTCCTTGAGGAGCCTGTTCCAGTGCCCAACATACTTGGAAGCCAAGTGACTATTCATAGCCTCTATACCTTTTAGGTCTCCATATGTATTTGGTGCTTTATTTAAAAGTCTGTAGAGTGTGACAGTCACTAAACGGGCTTCTTCCAGCAACCAGTAAGATCTGTCCATCGCTCCAGGCTAGATGGACTAAATGGACTTTCTGTTAGACTCAGTATTACTGTTTCTGTACAAGATGAGCTACTGTAACTCTGGAAACTAGTGAGAAGGTCTGAATGGCAGCAATATAGGACTTAGCTTTTGTGACTTTGAAAATTTGAAAATTCTGTTCCTCTTGAGCCTTTTGGGGCAAAATGGGCATGTAATTGCAAAGGAGTTTTCCTATATGCTCTGGGCGAATGTATCTCCTTTTCCTCAGCATAGGTTTAATTCTTTCCTCTGGTACTTGCCTCTAATACAGAGTTTGTCAAGTGACCATTTGACTGTCTTCTAGTTTCACAATTACTCACAAAACCAAACAGGAATTACAGTAGGCAGTGATTTCAGTTTGGGAACTGCCTTTTCAGTATGTAAGGATGATAGCAGAAACATGAGAGCAGTTTGTTGTCCAAGGAAGAAAGCTACTGATGGAGAAAGTTACTGATGCCAAAAGTTTCTAGAGAAAGAAGCTCTGCTTCTGCAGTCGTTTCTGGCACTTAACAAGGAAGGCTTGCTGCTGTGACAGCCAGGTGAGCAGATGGACCTCTCTGTTCCACAGCTGTGTGTTTTATTTAGGAAGAGAACCTTGCCCAGGTTTATCTCTAGTTGTAAGCTAGTACTCATCAGATCACTGAATCTCATGAGTAGCATTATTCCAGCAGGTGGATGGACTGATCAGCTCCTGGCAGCCTTCTTCAAAGGCATTTTGTTCTTGCTTGCTACAAAGGAACGTGCTGGACCAGTACAGTTTTCAGCATTCAGCAGGACTGACACCCCAAGGCTGGTTTTGTTTTTCATAAAGCCCCAAAGAGAATTTTTCTGGCTTTGCAGATCACAAATAATTTCTTGCTGAGTTTCTTCAAGGGATTTGTGGCATAGCAGGACTCTGAGAATGGTCCTGAGAAGGTCTGCCCACATGGCTAGTGTGTTGGCTCAGCAAAATGAGTGGGTTTGGTTCTTCATTGGCTTCTCTGCTTGGATGATGGGATGCATGTCTCTGTGCTCCTGTGCCCCAGTTTTATAAAAAAAGCGTCTCACTGATTAGCTGACTGGTCTTTGGGTATGGTAACAAAATGCAGTGTTCTTTGCACTGGAGCTTTCATTTCTCCATCAAAGTCCTTTTGTACACTGAATGTGTTAAGGTTTAATAATTATTTGCAGTATTGTCACTCTTTCTTGCCTGTTTGTTCATGAGCTTCTGATAAAAACTGAGGTACTCGTTACTTGTAGGCAACATTTAAAGCTTGCAAGCATTCGAGATGGGAAGGAAATGTCTAGTGTTCACTGTTTTTCCTCACTTGAAAATCTGTAGCTCTAATGATGGAGTAGTGAAGTTGTTAGAGAAGGGCTTTGTTTTCTGAGCCAAAATGAAAGTTTAAATTAGAAATGTAATTTGCAAGGGATCTTCAAAGACCACAGTAAGAAATTCTTGTCCTGGTTATGCCTTGGGATATTACTGGAATGCAATTGAATTATTTTTTTTACTCTTTTTGACATTTCTCCAAGAACATCTTTTGAGATTAAGCAAACAAATCTATCCTTCCCACCTCTCCGCCTGGCTTTAGACAGAATTCTTCAGCAGGAGCATGACTTCAGGACAAAGTTACAGTCAAGAGCTAATGTAGTTTGAAGATGGGTATAG